ATGAGTTATGCAATTTGGGAGACTTTTAGATAGAGGGAGTCCTTTTCTGTAGGAAAATACAGACACTGAAAGGAAGCTATTCCTTCTTCGTGAGCAGAAGTTTCTGCTGGAGTCACCACAATAGGGAACACTTGGTTTCGGTTGTTCAACTAGCAGGATTTTTAAAAATGTTATTGTATGCGTACGAATGCTTTGTTTCCATAAATGTATGCATTCTATGTGCGTGCCTGGTGCCTGAGGAGGCAAAAGACAGCATAGGATCCCCTGGAACTGAAAAGGGAGTTAAATGGTTTTGCATTTCTATGTGGGTACTGAGAGCCAAACTCGGGTCCTCTGAAAGAGCAGTGAGTGTTCCCAACCACTGAGCCATCTCTCCAGTTCCCAGGATTTTTTGATTGACACGGTCTTCATATGCATTCCAGACTGGCCTCATATCACTGAGCCTCCTGCCTCAACCCTAGATAACTGATTATGTATATAAGTATAGATAGATAGATAGATAGATAGATAGATAGATAGATAGATAGATAGATAGATATAGATTATAGATATATCTCATGACATCTAGCCACAAGATACATTTTGTGGAGATGCTAGTTTGCAATGGTTCACATTGTACCAAAACAAAAAAATATAAACTCATGATGTTTACATAATGCTCAGAGACTATATGAGGTAGAAAACTAATATCTAAATTGTGCTCAACTAGAAGGAAAAATGGCTTACCTTCCCTTTGAATTGGGTTTGATATGCACTGTAAACTGAAGAGGTGGATAAAGGACCAGTTCCCTACTGGTCCCTGATGTCCCCTGTTCTTGTAACAACTCACCCTTGGCACATGGTGCATTGCTTACTTTTGTATTTCAGTAACAGAATGTATACTAAAGCAAGGTAAGGGAAAATAGATTTATTTCAGATAATGGATTCCATGGGCTCAGTCCATTGTGGCCTGGAAGTTCAATTCATGACTCCAGGAACATGTGGAGGAGGCTGTTCACATCAGAATTGACCAGGAGGCAAAGATCCAGACTGGAAGCAGGAAGGGATATCTTTCCAAGAACCTATCCCCAGTAATCTGCTTTCCTAGATAGCCCCTACCTCCTAGTTCCCAAAACCTCACAAAATGATCTACCATTTCAGGACTAAGCATTGAAATCCAGATCCCACTGGAGATATTACAAATTCAATACACATTATACAGTCTGAATCTTCAAGAAGCACCTATGACATTCTCCCACCAACCTGAATCGATTTCTGAAAGTGTTGTTTTAATGGACAACACAGGAAGCCTGGTTTCAACCCCACATTCAAAGTACAAGATAGAGGCTCTACCCTGCAAACTGTCAGGACAAGATGTGAATGAACCTGAGGACAAAGAACTCTGCCAAAGGCAGGTATAAGCTGAGGTTTCCCGCTGATTCTCATATGAAAACTCCCTCAGAATCCGGCTTCTCTCAAGGGTGCTGGTTTTAGCCAGGCCCAGTGGTGCACACCTTTAGTCTAGCACTCTGGAGACAGAGACTGGTAGGTCTCTGTGAGATCAAATCCAGCTGGTCTACCTAGCAAGTTCCAGGCCAGCTGAGGCTATAGGAAGAGACTGCCTCAAATCAAAACAAAGACTAAACCAAACAAAAACAAAGTAAACAAGGTGTCTTTGAAACCACAAGTTTACCTTGTTTTACTCAAGTTCAAACTGGAATAACCTGTCACCTCCACCATCTTTTCTCCCAGGTGTTTCAGGGGAAGCATCAAGTACAAACTTCTCTTCTGTCCTGAATTACTGCTAAAAAACTTATTATGCAAACTACGTAAATGAATATAGACTATTTTAGCCAGCCTCTTATGAACAACTTCCCTTGAGGTGACACTGAAATTCCAGTTGAACACCTGTGTTTCAGGCCCTGTTATAGACAGTTGACCACAGATCCTAGGATCATAGGAACCTCACTTGGAACTTCATACTTTGTAATGCTTTTTTAAAATGTCCACACTTAGCACTTGAAAATACTCTGATACTGTTGTTATTGGATATCACGGTTCAAAGGACACAGTGAAGGATCAAGTTTGTTCTAACCAAAAATAATATAGTAAGACAGGGGGTTGCTGATGACAGGGACACTTTCTTAGGAAAAGAAAACACATCCAAGAGAGACAGAGAGACTGAGCAAGAGGATAAACTTAGTAACTCAAATTGCCCCTTTCCACAAAGGATCAGGGCCTTTATATTTCATAACAGACTTTTTGACTCATTTACATAGTGTAAGCTTGTTTTGTATGGGCATGTGTGTATGTGTGTGTGTGTGTGTGTGTGTGTGTGTGTATGTGTGTGTGTGTGTGTGTGAACATGGTGTGTGTGCTATGTGTGTGGAGTCCAGAGATCAACTTCAGGTATTGTTAGCCAATAAATGCTCGCTGCTTTTTGTTGTCTTTGTTTGTTTGTTTCATTTTCTCACTGAGTTAGAATTTCCCAATAAGCCTAGGCAGATTGGCCAGGAAGACCCAGGGATCCATTTGCATCAGCCTTCCCTTGCTGGGATTAGAGGTTCAAGCAAACTACCCTTATTTTTGTATGTGGACTCTGTGGATGCAACTTAATCCTCAAGCTTGCTATGCAAGCACTTTGTTGAACAAATACCTCCACAATCCTATATTCTCTTTTCTATATATTGCAAAACTGCTACCTGGAGGATGGAGATAATTGAGATACTTTCTGTTGCTAGTTCTGGACAAAACTATGAGTCAATAGTTTCAATCTCCCATTGTTTTGTAGAGCAGTGAGCAGTGGACCTGAGTTTCCATTGCCAATAATGTACAGTGCATTCAGCAACAAATATTCCTGTTCACATTGGTTTAGGGATACACATTGCTGCAGCTCCAGAGGGCTCAGCTGGGATCTGCTCAACTGAGATCCACGTATCTTCTCCTCCAATCTGGGATAAAGGAACACGTCCTGGCCCAGGTATTCTGTCTTCATCGTGAGGCTCAGAACAAAAGTACACTTGCTGACATGCAGTGTATGAGGTGAATCATGCCCTGGGTATTTGCTTTCCAGATTCTTTCAGCCCATCTTTATTACACCATAAAAGAACACTAGGCACCAGATATTGAAAAGTATGTTTTGAATAACTTTAAAATTTATTAAATAAAACTGCATAAACACAGCTGAAATATTTATAATAAACAAAATTAAATAGTATCATATGTAAAATATATTTTTGTATAATTTGCAGTATCAGATCTAAATATTAAATACCCATTTGAAATGGGGAATAGGGCATGGTGAGGGTAATATTACTATTACTGAGTAAAAAATTTAATTTCAGTTTAATAACACAAAAATACTAAGAAAAAATAGTTAAAAATTAAACAGCTTTAAATGGAATAACACGTTTTTTGAATAAAGAATTCAGTACAGGGCAAAACTCATATCAAAAAATCTGCAATTAAAACTGGACATTAAATTACAGCTTCTTCAATCCATTTCCAAAAATAAAGGAGATCTCCTTAATGTAAAAAAAATGTTTCAATTGTCTGTAACACCCTTTTAACACTCTTGGACAGGCACAGTTCCATGGGTATAGTTCCATAATACTGTGGAAATCATGTACACTGTAACGTTTCTGAAGCATGTCCAGTTCGAGTCTCAGCAGGAACTGGCACATTGTTTACCATTCCTTTCAGAAACAAACAGGTCAAGAAAGTAAGGGAGAGTTAAAGACAAAAAAGCATTGGTGAACAGCCACTACATTACAGTTAGCTAGGAACTGGAACAAACACAGCACAAATAAAGATTGAAGAAATTCAGCTATTCCCACATTCACAAGGAAATATCTTTAAAACACATATTTATGAGCAAATGATGTGGGTTGAAGAGTTTCTCAGCTTGCATTAGGTACATACACCGTACAGATGGTGATACATGCAGCTCTCTCTTACTCTATATTGGTACCACAGACACAGGAGTGGGGCTTCTCTTGCCTGCTCCAGATCAGAACCTGTTTGAAGTCTCTTCAGGGAATCCTGCTTGAGGTATGTAGAAATATCATGAATGTGCAGAGCAGCCTCAACAGCAGGTGCCGGCTACAGTAGGTGCTTGTGCAGGATCTCCCACACCATCTTCCGCCTGAACAGAGGGATGTGCTTCTGACAGAAGGTGATGGTTTGCTCTCGAGAAATGTAATCCGCATATTTGCAGGCAAACATTCCACAGTGGCTGCAATTCCACTGCTGAGGGATCTCCTCTGTGGTCATGCTGGCTTGCCTCCACTCCAAAGGGTTCAGATCTATCTTTCTCTGGGTTTTGCTCTCAATTTGTAGATACTGGAAAATGGTCTCACAGATCTCTTGTCCATTCCCTCCCATTGAATCCAGGTATACAGTGCTCTTTTTCCTTAGGTCTTTGGCCACCAGGCTCCAATGAATCTGCAGGTGAATTGGCATGAAGATCAGTTCTTCTGCAAAGAGATCCACTCCCCCAAGTTCATCTTCTCACTGATGTGTGGCCTCCATGCTTCAATTTTGTGTAAAAGAAGGTGTTAAATGTGTGAAGCGCTGGATAGCCTTGGTTTTCGTTTCTTTCCATGAGAAAATTCATGTAAAAATTGATGATTTCATCATTGAGCCATTTGGTGTCCTTTAGTGACTTCGTGTCTCCACGAGTTATCTGTAGGTTGAACGCGCTACTTAAGATCTCATCTTGTGGCCCTGGGCCCAGCGCATCACTGATTTCCTTTTCCATGTCCCCTGTCACATCAAGGGGGATGTCCACTGCTCTGCCCTTCTCCCGGTCTGCAGGAGTCTTTTCCTCTGCCTCAAGCGCTGGCCCTTCGGTGGTGAGTAGGCCATTGCTGCCACTCTGAGGGCTGATTTGGGGCCCTGTATAGGCGAGCACGCGCTAGGCTTTCAGGGTTCAGCGCGCACTCCTGGGCAGTGAAAGCTCCTCCACTACTGAGGTCTACTCAGTCGATCCCGTCCCTATTTCACCCATATACCTTCCTCAGGATGTGAGGTCCACTGGCCACTTGGACCACATGGGAAGCGTACGAGGAACGGTGAAAGCCAGGGTGTCCGTGAGTCGGTGACAGAGGAATAGCGCCCCCCCGGGGAGACTGGATCACAGGATTTAGTGTTACAGCTCAAGACAAGTGACTCAGCTCAGATCTCAGTGATTCAGCTCCAGCTCCTTTATTCAGTGACTTAGCTCGGCTCCAAGTCTCGGTGATCCAGCTCCTGCTCCAGCTCCGAGTCTGAGTGAGGTGATCCAGGCTCC